AAATTAAAGTGGTTTATTTAGCTCAGTTTTGGATGTTGAAAGTCTAAGCAGCATGACACTAGCTTTGCTGAGGGCCCCCTTGACTGCATCATGTCACAGTGGTTGGCACCGTGGTGGTAGCATGTTTGAGAGGAAGAGATCACACAGCAAGACAGGAAGCCAGAAAGCTGGGCGGGGCCAGGCCTAGTCTTTAATAAGAGCTCACTTGCATGAAATTAATTGAGGTTCTAGGAGAAATTACTTAAATTTTTCCCCTGCCTTATCTTTTTCTTTAAATTATTTCATTATTTATTTATTTATTTATTTATTTATTTAGTGTTTGAGGGACGGCCAAAGTGTGCACAAGCGGCGATCAGAGGACAACTTGTGAAAATTGGTGCTCTCTTTCCACCAAGGGGGTCCCAGGGATCAAACTTATGTCGTCAGGCTTGGTGGTAAGTGCCTTAATCCACGGAGCCATTTCAGAGGCTCTCCATGAGAAATTACTTGATCCCTCAAAAAGGTGATGTACCCAAGGAACCAATAACCTTACTCTAGGTTTCATTTCTTAAAAGTCTCACCACCTCCTTTTTGTTGTTGTTGGTTTCTTTTTTACTTTTACTTTTTATTTATTTATTATTATTTTATGTGTATACATGTATTTCCTGCATGTATATAAGTGCACCCATGTTGTACAATGCCCAAGGAGGTGTAAAGAGTGTGTTGGCTCCCTGGAACTAGAGTTACCCATGGTTGTTAGCCATCACATGGGTCCTCTACCAGAGTAGCCAGTGCTCTTAATCGCTAAGCCATCTCTCCAGCCCATGGACTTTTTTATTTTTACTTTGTGTATAAAAGTGTTTTGCCTGCATGTATCTAAGTACACCTGTGTTGTGCAATGCAGGGAGGCCAGAAGAGAGTGTTGGATCTGCTGGGACTGGAGTTACAGATGGTTGTTAGCTGCCATGTGTGTGCTGGGAACTGAACCCAGGTCCTTTGCCAAGAGCAGTTCGTGCTCTTAACCACTGAGCCATCGCTGTAGCCTCAGCCCCTCCACCTCTTAACCTTGCTACACTGAAGGAAATAATCGAAACTGGTGAAGGACACATGAAGGACAAACCACACCATAACCACAGCACTTTATGTTACTTAAATGCTTTTTATGAAAAAAGCCTCAAAATTTGTATGTTTATACTAATGTTATTCATATTTTTAGCCCTTACAATATACTTATCTTTATTAACACTCTATTAAACATTATTCTGGGCTGGGAGTGGTGGTGCATGTCTTTAATCCCAGCACTCAGGAGGTAGAGCAGGTGAATATGAGTTCCAGGCCAGTCTGGTCTACATAGTGAGACACTGTCTCAAAAAACAGAACAAAATAACAAACACAAAAACAATAAAAAAATTATATTTCCTTTACTGCTAGACTCTCCTTCCTATGATTATTACAAAAAGGAGCTGGAGAGATGGCTCAGCGATTAAGAGCACTGATTGCTTTTATAGAAGACCTGAGTTCGATTCCCAGCACCCATGTGGCAGCAACAAACCATCCAGTTCCAGTGGATCTGACCCCCTCTTCTGACCTCTGAGGTACTGTATGACATGGGTCCACTCACATACATGCAGGCGGCAGATCTCTATGAGATGGAGACCAGCCTGGTCTACACTGAGTTCCAGGCCAGTCTGGTCTACATAGTGAGACACTGTCTCAAAAAACAGAACAAAATAACAAACACAAAAACAATAAAAAAAATTATATTTCCTTTACTGCTAGACTCTCCTTCCTATGATTAAGTATTACAAAAAGGAGCTGGAGAGATGGCTCAGCGATTAAGAGCACTGACTGCTTTTATAGAAGACCTGAGTTTGATTCCCAGCACCCATGTGGCAGCAACGAACCATCCAGTTCCAGTGGATCTGACCCCCTCTTCTGACCTCTGAGGTACTGTATGACATGGGTCCACTCACATACATGCAGGCAATATACTCATACACATAAAATAAAAATAAATAAAATATTAAAAAAAAGAATTACAAAAAGTAAGGATGGAGAGATGGCTCAGTGGTTAACAGCACTAGCTTCTCTGGCAGAGGACCTGGGTTTGGTTTCCAGCATCCACCCACATGGCAGCTAACAATCAGGGGGAGCTGACACCCCCTCTGGCCTCCAAGAGAACCAGGAACACATATGGTATACATACATACATTAAGACAATCACTCATATACAATATTTTTAATCTTTAAACAGAAAAAAGAATTAACGGTGGGCATGGTGGCACATGTCTTTAATCCCAGCACTCTGGAGGCAGAGGCAGGTGGATCTCTGTGAGATCCAGGACAGCCTGATCTACCTAATGAGTTCCAGGCCAGCTGGGGCTATAGGGAGACCTTGTCTGAAAAAACAAAAAGCAAACAAAAAACTATAAAAAGTGGTGACTGCTAGTGTCTGCCCTATACTCACAGTACCAAACTCATCATCCCTTAGTCCTAGACACATGGTAAACCTTCCTTAGAAAAGGAAAGAAATTTTCTTCATGGAATCCTAAGTATTGTATAAACCAAATTAATATGACCTGAACTTGTTCCTTTTTGGGACAGCCCTGTTGTGCATCCCTGGCTGGCCTTGAACTCACAATCCTCTTGCCTTGGCCTCTGAGTGCTGGGATGACAGGCATGTGCTACCATGTCCAGATAACTTTGCACCTTTATATGTTATGTGAATAGTTATCTATGAGAATGTTAATTTGAACATTGACAACTAAGGTTAATTATGATAATTATCAGCTCATTACTTTATTGTTCTGTGACATATTTGCTTATGTTTTCAAATTGCCTCAGAAGCTGTCTAAAATACGGTCGTTTGTTGGTTTATGTCTAATCATTAATCAGTCTTCAAATACAGTATTTCCCACAAATTCCTCAGGGTATGATTGTAATGACAGGCATACATCTTCAAATGCCTTTCAGTGTGATAAAACATGCAAAGAGATCTGATTCAAAATAAATATCTGTATTTTCTAGAAAATGCAGAATGATATAACAGTAATTGTTCTCAATGAAGTTTTATGGTGAGGCATTCTGTTAAATGCTAGAAAGCAAGTATTTTGGAGGTAGCTACTGAAATAACAAAGTATGACTCACTGTCTGTAAACACTCTAATGTCCTTGCATTATCATGGGAGAGTTCCTGTGTGGCTTTAATAATATATATAAAATGAATTACTATTTATATTCTTCTGGAAGGCATTAAAAAAAAAACCTCTATTAGCAGAAAGGTCTCTACAGTCTAACAAATTAATTATCCTTTACTTTCTTGTCAATAGGATGAGGGGTTACTTTTAAGTAAATAATGAGAGATTTTACTATCTGTGTTTCTTGTAGTGGCAATTCCCTGAGTTGATAGAAGTTTAGGCATTGAAAGTGTGTATTTGTTGCACTGTTCATTTTAAAGGGCAGAGCAAGAGTTATTACTAAATGCTTTCTTTCTGACCCTGAAATATCTCAAAGTTCATCTCTGACTGAGATCACAGGGGGAAGAATGTGTAACCAGTCTCAGACTGGTAGAACCAGAGATCATAAAGATGCCATCATTTTACAGATGAGGCTTGACAAATTTTAAAAACTTTTTAAAGGAGGCTTATTGAAATGGGAAAGAAAATTTCTACATGGAATTTCTATATGGTATTGAATCAATCAAATGGATAGCCTTCAGGCCTCCCTGAAGGCTGGCCTTACTGCTTTTCTACCTTACACTTAAGAAAAACTAATGTATAAGCAAGCAGCTAAACTAGCAGGTCCCTTATTATCCCTATGAATCAGTGTCAGGGCCGGGAATGAAAGCCAAAACTTTGAATGCTGGACATTCTCACAGATGTAGGCTGATCTCATTCGGAATAGATGCTGGCTGGGGGTGAGGTGAAGCCATTTTTGGGAAGTCCCTAATAGAGTTCTGTGTTTCACAAGCCGAGTTATTGCTGAGGGATGCAAAATGCTTGCTTAAATGAGTTCCAGTTGATCATGTGATCTTAAAGAAACAAAACAGTTCTTACCTTCCTCTAAAATATAGCTCAACATAGAAACTGAAATGTGCTTTAAATCGGGTTCAGTCTCAAATATCCAGGAAATTCGCGGCGTCATTTACATCAGTCATCTGTGTGAAATCTTTTAGGATCCCACTGAACATTTATAATGAAACTATTTACTTGAGTCCCTCTTTCTCTGTTTAGAAACGTATTTTCTGTTCTGTTGTCACACTGAAATAGTAAATACTGATCATAGTGAAATAAAGAAAAAGTCCAGGTAAATCTCAGTATCTTTTCCCATCTAAGATGACAAACTTTTAAAGGCAGCTCCACCCTTTAAACACGCACGCACGCACACACACACACATGCTCAGCTATGTCAGTGACCTCAATGTTGCATGTAGTTGCTCTCCAAGACCTATTCCCAAGGGTCATGGCCGAGTATTTTCTGATGACCACACTCGGTGCAGAGAGATGTTCAAACCATTGCCACATCCATCTCCCGTGAACCGTGCGGGGTGAGCTCATGCAGTAACCGGGGCTGGAGCTCTGCCGGCTGAGAACGAAAGACCAATCACAAACCGGGGAACCTTACTTCGCACTTCTCGGGGGCCCCACAGAGGTGGAGCCCTGGGTCAGGGCTGGCAGGGGCGCTAGGAGGAAGGGGGTTGAGTCCGGTGTGCTCAACCAGCGAGTTGGCGAGATGGCAGCGTTGGAGCAAAAGGGATCCAAGTACCAAGAGGGGCAGAAAGAGTTGGGGAAAAGGGGCGGGGAGGGCAGCCCTGGTTCAGGCGGGAAAGGAGACACAGAAGGGGGCGCAGGAAATGGGCGCCAAAGAAATAAGAAATTGCGGAGGAGGAAGTCGTCCCTGGAAGAGGAGGGGCGAAGGGGAAGCAAGAACCAGGCGCTGGCACTTTAGAGAGCCCAGGGCCGGAGCCTCCCCGACCGGGGGAGGGCGCACCGGCTCGCGTCCGGCCCCGCGCAGTCACCCTACCTGAAGCGCTCCTGTCCCGCCGTGTCCCACAGCTGCAGCTTGATCCTCTTGCCCGGCTCGATCTCCAGCAGGCGGGAGAAGAAGTCCACGCCGACCGTGGGGTCGCAGGCGGGGGAGCGCAGCCCAGGGAAGCGGCCCTGGGTGAAGCGGTGCAGGAGGCACGACTTGCCCACTGTGGAGTCCCCGATCACGATGAGGCGGAACTGGTAGATCCAGATGGTCTCCATCGCTCCGGGGCTGCCGCACCCGCCCAGCCCGCCGCAAGTTCGGCGGCGGGAACTGTCCCTTCAGCACCTCCGCGGCACGCCCGCTTCCAGCGTCGTCCTGCGGCTACGGCCGCCGCCTGGTCCCCGCCCTCTGGGGAGGGAGGGGAGGGGCCGCGGGCTGGGGGCGGGGCCAAGAGTTGAGGGCGGGGCTCGGCTCAGCCTTCGGGGCGGGGCCACGCACTGGGGGCGAGAACGACCCGCCTGGGCGGGGCTACAAGTTGGGGGCGAGGACCCGGCCTGCCTGGGGCGGAAACGGCCCTCTGGGGGTGGGGCCTCGGACTGGGGGGCGGGGCGTGCGCCACAGCGCTGGGGTTAGGGAAACAGGTGGGCCCCAGACAACTGCAACTCTAGTGCAGACCTCCCTGGGAACCAATCAGAAAGTGGGTGTGGCGAAAGGACGTGACAGCAATGGCAACCAATGAAAATGCATCACTGGTCAGCTAAAGAAAAGTGGGAGTCATTTTCTCCCCAGTCAGAGTGGCTGGCCAAAGAAGGGCTCAGATTTCGGAAGTCTGCAAGGGCGGTAATCTGCTTCGGGGCTGTGGCTTCGCTGCATCCGGGTTTTCTGAAGTCTGTTGGATAGACCTTTGCAGAACTGGCTCTGACTGCTCTGATAAGGACTGCCTGTTGCTGTTCGAGGGCTTTTTTCCTCAGCGCTTTCAGGATTACGGAAGAGTAGGAAAAATGTCAAGGTCTAACCCCATGCCCTGGGAAAGAAGTGAAATGTTAAAAGTTCATATAATTTCGCCCGGCGTGGTTGCGCACATCTTTAATCCCAGCACTCGGGAGGCAGAGGCATGTGGATCTCTGAGAGATCGAGGCCAGCCTGGTCTCTAGCGAGTTGCAGGCCAGCTGGCGCTACAGAGACCCTGAATCACAACAAAAGTTGATACAGTTTCTCTGCTTCCTGGATTCCTCTGTAGTTAGGATATCTACAGCTGGTCTCAATAAACATAAAGTCTGGTGAGAATTTACTGTAATCGCACCCCTTGTCTCAAATTTAATAGCAAATTCAAGATTTATCTTTAGGGCTGGGGATGTGGCTCCGTTGGTAGAGTGTTTGCCTGGCATACTTGAGGGCCTGGAACCCCAGCACCAAATAAACAAGTAGTGGTGGTTCATGCCTATAATCCCAGCACTCGGGAGGTGGAGGCAGATGTGTAAAAAATTTGAGGTCGTTCTCTCTGACCCAGCGAGTTCCAGGATGATTTATCTTTTAAAAAAATCAAAGTTCACGTTCCTCGGGAGGCAGAGGCAGGCGGATCTCTGTGAGTTCAAGGCCAGCCTGGTCTACATAGTGAGTTCCAGGACAGCTGTGGCTACAGGGAGACCCTGTCTCAAAAAAGACCAAAAAAAAAAAAAAAAAAAAAAATCAAAGTTCATCAGCTTTAAGTGTATGCCTATCAAACAACGTTTTGGGACTAGGGCTATGGCTCCGTGGTAGCCCTTCTGAGGTTGGAATCTCAATACTGAAAAAAAAATCCTATTTCATTTTTTTCTTGCATACATCTAACTTTCTGCTAATGCTATTCAGCATTCCTTTCTTTTGGAAGTATTTTCCCCAACAGTTGAGCTTTATGTAAAGCCATTGAGGCCTTATGTCTCCCCTTCAACAATTGCTTATACAGTTGTACTTACAGATAAGGGTAAGTATCCACAGTTCTAAAACTAATCAGATCCCCTCTCTCGTGTGCCCCCCTCAGCCTTGCCCCCTCCGACCTTCTTGTCACATATCCAAAAGAATAATCTAATCTTATTTCTCTCCTACAGGATCGTCTTTGAGAAGCCTAATAGTCCCCTAGTACATGACCTAATACACCAGGAAACAATTGCTTTGGGTAAGTCTGCAGGGGACATCCTAATTATCAATCCCAGCCCCCCACCTTCTCTAGCATTCTCACTTTTGACCCCACTGTTCTCCTGATGTCTTCTCCCAATGTCTCAGAATTTCTCCCTTGAGGGATAGCCAAGTGATCAGTTGTGATGCCTGAAACATAAAAGTGGGTTTTTTTTTTGTTTATTTTGTTTGTCTTTTTTTGAGACAGGGTCTCCTTGTAGCCCCAGACAGTCTGGAACTCACTGTGTTCAGGCTGGCCTTGAACTCACAGAGATCTGCCTGCTTCTGCCTCCCAAGCATCCGGATCAAAGGTGTGTGCCACCATGCCCAGCAAGGGTCGTTTTTCTGTAAATAAGGCTTTTCTTTATGTAAGGGCATGACAATCTTCCTGCCTTTCATTCTGTCTTCTTTCCCTTTTCTTCTGATCTGGAATGTGTTAACAACCATCTTGTGACTGTAAAGATGAAGAACTGGATGCTAAGGATGGGGGGTGGGGGAGAGAAAGAGCCTGCTTCCCACAGGGCTTTGCTGATCTGTGGTACCAGCTCTGCTTTAGACAAATAAATCAATACCTGTTTAAACTACTGGTGGCTGGATTTTCTTTAGTACAGCAGGAACGTTTTTATTTCCTGGCTTCTACAAAGCATCTTGTTCTTAACCTTCTTCACTCCTCTTTCTTGGTTCCATTTCTTATGTATCAAAGATCCCCTGAGATCCAACTCTCATCCCTTCCCCCTCTCCCTTTTCCCACCTTCCTCTCTTTAGGCTTGTTCGCAAAGCCTCACTTACTCCAATGACCTCAGTTACTCCCTCCTCACACATCCTCTTCTAACCTCTGCTCTATATTTAGACCTGTATTTTCAGCTCCTCTCCCCTTAGATGTTGAATACACATTCAGACTCAACACATTTGTGTTGGTTAGGAGTCTTTGAAACAAACTTCAGTGAAGGTGACAGAAAAGCATGAAAGCATTTATCCGAAAGATAGTGTTTTACAAAACAGAATCTACAGGTAGGAATGCTGCCTGTACTACAGAGGTGTCAGAACGAGGAAAGAGCATTCTGCAAGAAACCCAAGTAACTATGTCTTTTTGTTTCCCTCCACTTCTCTCTTCTTTTATTGATTATTTTTCTTATTTTATGTGTATGAGCGTTTTGCCTGCATGTAAGTGCATTGTGTTGTGCAATGTCCACGGAGGTAGAAGAGGGAGTCAGATCCCCTATAACTGGAGTTAGAGATGGTTGTTAGCTGTCATGTGGGTGCTGGGACTTGAACCTGAGTCCTCTGCAAGAGCAGCCAGTGCTCTTAACCACTGAGGCATCTCTCCAGCCCCCTTGTTTTGTTTTAACATCTGGTTGATTCTTGTCTCTCTACAAACCAGCTTCTCTGCTTCCTGGTCCATAGCTGCTGTGGCTTTCCTATTAACTATCTAGACATGTAGGGACTGATTTCTGTTTCTCTGTAGAAATAATGTAGTTGGTTTGGTCTGGAATAGGTGTTCAGACATGCTACAATTGGGGTCTTGGATGTTCTTCAAACGTCCATATGTTAAAGATTTGATTCACAGCTTCATTCTACTGGGAGGTGATAGAAGGTCTTTAGGTCACCAGGGGCATGACTTCAAAGGCAGCTGTGGCAAGGACAGGGAGATGGCTCAGCAGGTAAAGTACATACAGATTGAATGAGAACCAGAGTTTGGATCCCCAGATGGGTGTGGCAGCATATGCCTGTAACCACAGTGTGGAGTGGGGTGGAGAGTAGATGTGTGCTTTGTGTGTGTGTATCAGGGGAGTGTGTTGAAGACAGATCCTGGCCAGCCAGTCTAGGTGATAGGGTGAGCTCCAGGTTCAGTGAGAGACCCTAATTCAAAAAATAAGGTAGAGAGCAATAGAGGAAGATACCTGATGTTGACCTCTGGCATCCATATGCTGACACTCAGGCAAGTGTACCTTCTTACATATGTACACATATGTGCATATCACACACACACACACACACACATACATACACACATGGAGCAACTGCAGGACCCAGGCTTTCTTTTCCTCTTTCTCTTTCATTTCTGGGTCACAAAGTGAATAACTTTATTCTGCCATGCTCTCTTGCTATGATATATTACTACAGGCCCAAGGCAATGGAGTCAACCAGTAATGGACTTAAACCTCTAAACTGCAAGCCAAAATAACCCTTTCTCTTTATAAGTTGATTGTCTTTAGTATTTGTGATGGTGATGTAAAGCTGACTAATATTATACCAAAGAGATACAGTCATTTGGACAAGAGCATGTGGTAGGTGAATCTGTTTTGGTGGGAGATCATGCAGTGTTTGCAGTCTTG